TTCCAATGCTGTAAAGTGAATCTCCAGAACTTAAGTCATGCTGTTTGAGACTCTAGTATCCTTTCACTAGCATAGGAACAGAGGAAGAAATAAGTTAAACACTACAAAAAACTAAGTAAGATCACCAAATGACAGTTTAGTTTTCACATATCTTGGATCCTAAGATAGTGCATCTTTCCTTCCATACTTAATGTTCAGAAACTGAGACACATCTTATGAGCCGTGGTGAAAGAAACTTTCAAGGAAGGAAGATAAACTGTGACATAGCTATTTTCCCCTGCATCTAAAGTGAAATGACCCATTTCTAGAAAGTATAACTCAGGGCCATCCTTCGAATCTTTACTCAGACTTAGACCCCCTAATGGTTGCCTAAAACATTTTCTAAAATTATAATACTCTGATGCAATACTGAATCAAAAATATAGTGGGTAATAACAGGACAACTGGTAACAAAGCAGCCAACAATGGGATCTGTTGAATTTGTCAGGAAAACTCAAGAAATTCAAAGTGAGGAAAAGTTGGTGTGTTTGACATCTATTCTGAAATGCTATTATGCATCTTAAAAGGCTAGGTTGTTGAACACCTATCTATCAAAAGTCCTTCTCACTTTGAGTGGGATCTAAATATGTAATTGCATGTAAGGAGACACAACATGATATGCTCAAATAGAAAATGCAGAGGGAATCACGCTATGCTTTAAGACACCTCAATCTGAGCCTGCCAGAAAGACCATAAGTGGTTGCCTGCTGATGGGGTTTTGAGAGGGAGAAGGGGATGACAAGGAAATGTTTGGAGATGTTATGTATGCTCATTTCTTTGTCCTCCCTCCCTTCCTTCCTTCCTTTTGTATCATGTGTGCATACATACATCAAAAGCAAGCTATTCACTTCAAGTATGTACATATTAATATTCTTCAATTATATATAAAAAACTAAAAAAGGGATTATTTTGTCAATAACAAGACTCTAAACAAATCTTTAAATAAAAAGGGGGGCTGGCACTGTGGTGCAGCAGGTTAAGCTGCTGTCTGCAGCTATGTATGGCATTCCATGTGTGTACCAGTTTGAGTCCTGGCTGCCTCACTTGCCATCCACCTCCCTATTAACGTGCCTGGGAAATCAGTGGAAGATAGTCCAAGTCCTTGGGCTCCTGCCACTCAGGTAGGAGACCTAAAAGAAGCTCCCAGCTTTGGCTTGGCACAGCCCTGGTCATTGCAGCCATTTTGAGAGTGAACCAGCAGATGGAATCTCTTTCTCTTTCCCCCTCTCCCTCTCCCCCTCTGTCCCTCTCTCCCTCTCCCTTTCCCTTTCTCCCTGTCCCTCCTCTCTATCTGTAACTCTGCCTTTCAAATAAATAAATAATTCTCTTTTAAAAAATAACAAAGATCTACAGAGATCAAGGTCATGGAAACAGATTATCAAAGCATGAAGTCATGATATGAACAACTAAAATGATTCAAGAGACACGTCAGGACCTGAATAACAATAGCATCTTCACCTTCACCACCAACACTTATATTAATTAAGTACTCCCCTTCATGAACGAAGAATGCTCCAAAAATTTAACTTATGTCATTTCATTTGACCCTCACAAACCTCCTTGTAAGGTTTAGTTCACTAGAAGAAAATGAAGCCACATGAAAGTACTTCAGAAAGTTCATGGGAAAACAGAAGATAATTCATTTTGGTGCAGTTTTTTGAAGCCATGCATAGGTTTTCCATAATATGCATTTAGACAGATTTTTGGAAGACTCTTTTATAAAGCTTAAGATTTGCACTTTTCACCAAGATGGCCAAAGGCAAAGAAGGAAGCTCCTGCTCCTCACAAAGCTTAAGCCAAAGCAAAGGCTTTGAAGGCCAAAAAGGCAGTGCTGAAAGGTACCCACAGCGGAAAAAAAAAAAAAAAAAAAAAAAAAAAAGGACCTGTAGGTCACACTTAAACCATATTCAAGCCATGGCAGAGGTATATTTCTTAAACACATAACATAAAATTTTCCATTTTAGCCATTTTTAAGCATACAGTAGAGAGGCCAGCACTGTGGCAATGCAGCTAAACCACTGCCTGTGACACTGTCATCCCAAAAGGGTGTCAGTTCATGCCCTAGTACTCCACTTCTGATCCAGCTCCCTACTAATGCTCTGGGAAAAGCAGTGGAAGATGGCCCAAGTGGGAGACCTGGATGAAGCCCCTGGCTTCAGCCTAGCTCAGCCCTGGCCATTACAGCCACTTGGAGAATGAACCAATGGATAGAAGAGTCTCTCTCTCTCTCTCTCTTTCTCTTTCTCTTTCTTTTCCTCTCACTCTATGACTTTCAAATAAGTAAATAAATTTTTAAAATTTTTAAAATTTAAAATTTTTTTGAATTTTTAAAAAATTATACAGTGCAGTGACAATTATTGCCTTATTTTGAAAGGTCATCCATCACTCTAGGTAAAATACTGCATGGTAGTCATCAGGTACATGAGTTCTGCAGGAAGATTTCTACTTCTGCTCCTTACTAGTGTATGATGTTGGATAATTTTTTTAAAGATTTATTTATTTATTTGAAAGGTGGAGTTACAGAGAGGCAGAGGCAGAGGCACAGAAAGAGAGACAGAGAGAGAGAGAGAGAGAGAGAGAGAGAGATCTTCCATCCAATGGTTCACTCCCCAAATGGCTGCAATGGCTGAAGATGCGCTGATTCAAAGCCAGGAGCCAGGAACTTCTTGTGGGTCTCCCATGTGGGTGCAGGGACCCAAGGACTTGGGCCATCTTCTACTGCTTTCCCAGGCCATAGCAGAGAGCTGGATCGGAAGTGGAGCAGCTGGGTCTCAAACCTGCACCTAAATGGGATGCTAGTACTGCAGATGACAGCTTTACATGCTATGCCACAATGGTGGCCCCAACATTGGACAATTTTTTAATCCTTCCATCCTTCAGGTTCCTCATCTGTAAAGTGGTGATGATGAAAGCCTAACAGGTAATATTATTACAAGGATTAATCCAGGTAATAAATATAATTGCTCATGATAATTCCTGACATGGAATAGAAGCTTTCAATATGCTATAGAAAACATAGTTGTAGGGCTGTCACCATGGCATAATGGGCAAAGCCTCTGCCTGCTGTGCCAGCATCCCATATGGGTGCTGGTTCATGTTCCAGCTGCTCCTCTTCTAAGATAGCTCTCTGCTTATGGCCTGGGAGAGCAGTGGAATATAGCTCAATGCTTGGGCCCCTGCACCTGTGTAGGAGACCTGCAAGCTCTAGGCTCCTGACTTCAGATTAGCATTGCTCCTGCCATTGCAGTCATTTGGGGAGTGAACCAGCAGGTGGAAGATCCCTTTCTTCTCTGCCTCTGCCTCTCTGTAACTCTGCCTTTCAAATAAATAAATATTTTTTTTTTTTTAAAGTGAGAGATATAGGATAGCCTGGAAGGATCTGTAAGTCTCTTATGTGATAGTCCCACTTATGTGTCTTCCCTCTGTGGATTTGGGAAACAGGTATGTGGCTTTCATCAGATTTTCAGTGTTAAAACTGCAAGTGAAAACAATAGAACACTCAGCAGAGAAATTAATATGTAACTGTAAGGAGGTAGATAAACTAATAGGCAGTTAGGTCAGGTCCATATGGGAATGAGCAAAGGAGGGGTCCCTTTAAAAATGCATCTAATTAAGTGTTAAAGCAATCATATAAATAGGATTAATTCTATATTAATATATAGAATTAAAAAGGAGTGAATGCTCCAATATGGGAAGCATTCCATACAGTAGACTCATGGAATGACAATCACTTTAAGTAGCACTCTGACCTCAGAATCAGCCCTTAGGCATTCTGTTCTGGCTGAAAAGCCCACAAGAGCATTTCAAGCATAGAAAGCCAAGACACTGTTGCAAAAAATGTCCTACATGAAGGACCTCTGTGGGTGAGACCCTAGTGGAAAGAAATGGTCATCAAAGAAGGAGGTACTTTTCTCTGAAAGGAGAATTTCCACTTTGCTTATGGCCTTGTCTAAATACTGATGAAGTTTGTAGATTCAAAAGGCTTCCATAGCCTAGGCAGCTCACATCAAGAGTCTCAGTTGATCATTGATATCATACATAAAGAATTTTAATTGCTAAATTAATAACAGGAGTTACTGTGTACTAACCTCCCATGCAGGACCTCTGTCCTCAAAGAGTTATACTATGTTATATTTAAATTTGTATGTTATATATATGTTACATATTTATATATGTTATATTATTTATTTTTTAAAAAAGATTTATTTATTTATTTGAAAGTCAGATTTACACAGAGAGAGGGGAGGCAGAGAGAGAGTGAGAGAGAGGTCTTCCATCTGATGGTTCACTCCCCAAATGGCTGAAATCGCCAGAGCTGTGCCAATCCAAAGTCAGGAGCTTCTTCCGGGTCTCCCACATGGGTGCTTGGGCCCAAGTACTTGGGCCATCTTATACTGCTTTCCCAGGCCATAGCAGAGAGCTGGATGGGAAGTGGAGTAGCCAGGTCCCGAACCAGAGCCCATATGGGATGTCAGCGCTCAGGCCAGGGTGTTAACCCGCTGAGCCACAGCACTGGCCCCTGTTTTACTATTTAAAAGTAAAACTTGTTCTCAAAGATTTATTTCATTTTAGTGTTTTCAGTGGAGGATATTCTTAAGTCTCACAAGTTTTAGTTATGGCTAAGTGTCCAACTCCATGGCTTGTTTTCTTAGGTGATTCCTTAATTACTGATAAAATATGTTCTCAAGGACTTACTTTCTTTTAAAGTATTAAGTGGAGGATATTCTTATGTTTCAAAAGTTACAGTTATGTTTATATGCTTGCAAAAGATACATCATTCTTGGGAGCTTCTTTAAAGTTAATTAAGTTTCTAAAAAACAAGTAAAATTAACTTCAAGATGCAATGACTTTGAACAGTACTTGTCTCAGCTGTTGAGGAACAGTTTTTTGTTTTTTTTTTTGTTTTTTTTTTTTTTTTGTAAAATGATGAACACTTTACTTAGTATAGAGTTGGTCTTCTGTGTATAAAGTTAATTGAAAATGGATCTTAGTGGAGAATGGGACTGGGAATGCAAAAGGGAGGAGGAAGAGGGGTGGGAGTGTGGGTAGGAGGCTGGGCATGGTGGGAAGAATCACTACAGTTGTACTTATGAAAAGTATGAAGTTTGTATTCCTTAAATAAAAGGTTTCTTTGGGGGGAAAAAGGGCATCCTATGTGAGTGCCAGTTTGCATCCTAGCTGCTCTACTTCTGATCTAGCTCTCTGCAGGTGGCCTGAGAAAGCAGTGGAAGATGGTCCAAGTGTATGGGCCCCTGGACCCACATGATGGACCCAGATGAGGCTCCTGGCTCCTGGATTTGGATGGGTTTAGCTCTGACCATTAAAGTCGTTTGGGGAGTGAAACAGAGGATGGTAGACCTCTCTATTTGTCTATCTCTCTTTCTGTCTGTAACTCTTTCAAGTAAATAAATAGATCTTTTAAATAAATAGATAAATAAATAGATCTTTTTATAAAAAAAAAATACAAGATGCAGGCTTCTCCCCAAAAGCTACCTTTAGCAATATAAAAATACCAATCTGCTTTTTATGAGAATAGAAAGACTTAACTTAGCCCATCCTTCTGGTGGCTTTTTTGTTTTATTCTGAGCATGCTAGACAGGATTATGATTCTGGCCTTATGATGGATTTTGTTCCTGCTCTTTGATTGACTGTCCCACAAATTGTGCTTAAAAGGTACACTTCAACCAGTTTCTCGGGTCTACCTTTCTTGGAGCCCTCCTCCCGGCTGCTGCCGCAGGAGGTTTCTGACTTAAATAAATCTTGATTTGCTCACTGCCTTGTCCACATAGAAATTCTTCTTATATGTGAGACAAGAACCTAGGTCATTGTCTTTGTCACCGTTTTCCCTGCAACATAACCAAATCAACCTCACTTAATCTTCTAAACAGAGGCCTTTGATCATTGACCTACGTTTTCTCCTTCTCTCTGCAGGGAGAGAAGGGATTGGGTGTAAGCATGAGAATGAAATGCTTATTGTTTGCTCAGGACTACCTAAGTGCATTGCACCTGATGAGGTACGATTCACACTTTCCAGAGTTGTAGCTTACAGTCTGTAGGGCTCAACAAACTTTGCCCCCATGCAATTGCATGCGTCCAGTCCTGAGGACAGTGATAAGTGGCCAGTAGCACTGCTGTTGTGACATGGATGTCAAGGTACCAGCTCATGGAGTTAAGTAGGCTTCACAGTCCTGTTCCCTTACATGCCTTGCTATATCCTTGCTTTACACAGTATTTTGTATCTACCTCTCACAGCCTTTTATGGACAAATGACTCCTTTGGCATCTTGTAAAAATGTGGACCCTCACTCAGTAGGTCTGGGGTATGGCTGAGATTCTGTGTCTCCAACAAGTCCAGGGAATCACACTTGGAATAACAGGGTGTTGACCTCTTCAGGTCAGTTTACTTGTTTGCCTCAACAAAGGCCTCTGAGAAAACTGAAGGCACAGAACTTTATTCAACTTTCTTTCTCACAAACTTAATATCGAGATGGCACTGAGAAGACGAAAGTTAATGGTTAGTAAGGTGAAGCAAGGAAGGGAGGGAGAGAGAAACAATAAGACTGCCAAGAAGGATGGATGAAACAAAAGAAAAAGAAAAGAAACGATAGAAATGTAAGCTGAGGAAAAAGGTGGTTGTTCACTGGAGGCAGACAGGATGTAGTTGTCAAAACTGAAGTTGTTTTTCCAAATACATTTCTGCTTCTAGAATCAAAGTTCTCTCTGGGACTCAAGGAAGGTTCTCTTTGTGTGCCAGAAAAAGGGAAGGAAATAGAAGTTGCCACGCTGACCACTAATCCAGATATTCAAGTTTGTTTCTGAGAGACAATTCTTTAATTTTGAGAGAATAAGAACATTTACCTTGCAAAGAAATTCACTGCAGAACATACCCTGAGCATGAAAATCTACCGGTTATAGACAGATTCTCACTGACCATTTCACATACTTTCTTTTGGGAGAGGCTGTTCTTTGACACAGTCTATCACATTTTACTTAAAATTATTTTAGCTTTTGCTGCTAATGCGTGCAATAGGAAGGCCCTGAAAATGTTCAGAGAGAGACACAAAATGGGGTTGAAAAGCCCAGTCTTGGACTGTCACATCTTGCCAGTTGGAAACAGCTGTAACCCCCAGAGTGATCCCATATTACCTATCCTGCTCAGAATCTCCACGGCACTGACTTGTGAGAGGCTCATTTCACAGAGGGGCAGAGAATGTGAATGCCATCGGTCAGAGCACTGTGTCTAGGTGTCACATTATTTTGTTAGGCAATGATGAATCACACTGCAGCTCTCACATTTACTTTCCCATGACCTCTGAGCAACAAGGGAAAACCAAAGAACAATTCTGGGCGTTCAATTTCCCTAACAAAGCAACAGAAGGCCCAGATTAAACTGGCCTCTTTGAAACTTAAAAGGAACCACCATTTGTCACCTTTTAAGGGGGCAAACAGATTAATAGGTAGTGAATAATCACAATTCACTGATTAAATGGGTAGCTATTGTAATGTAGATCCAATCCCTTAGAAAGAAAGAAATTCAGGCCCTTCTTGAGTTCAGACAAATCTGCTGGTAAATTTCTGTTCACTAACAAAGTAAAATTGCAAAGGCAATTTTTGATGAAGAATTTAAGAGACACATAGGGCAAGCAAATCCTTAGCATAAATTCTGAATGCAGCTAGCTTATTAAATAAAGTTGACATTAAAATTCATCTTTTGCTACCGTCCCCCAAAAGGTACAAATGCTGGAAACATCAACCAATTCTCACTGCAATGTAATATTGCCTGAAAGTTTCCAGGATGATAACCATAAGGCTGACAACAGCGACGACTAAGTTACTGGGTATTCTAGTCATTCTTCACACATTAAGTTACTTACTCATCAAAGGAATAGTCAATAACTCCCATTTCTCTGTAGGGGATAAATTCTAAGACCCTTATTTAATACCCAGCTCTCTATATACTATTTTCCCTATATTTATACAAAAATAATGATGAAATTTCATCTTTCCACTTAAAAGAAGCAGTTTATGGTTTCTCTTTGGCAGATCCAAATTGTCAGAATGATTACTTTTGTGCTTTGGGTCCATTATTAAGGAAAACAACTGTTAAGTTGCAGGAAAACAAACAAAAAAAAAACCAATTTAAAAATGGGCAAATGATTTGCAATGATATTTCTCAAAATAACAGATACAAATGGCCAAGAAGTATACAAGAAAATGCTTCATGTAACTAATCATCAGGGAAATGCAAATCAAAACCACAGTGAGATATCCTCTCACGCCAGTCAGAATGACTTTAAAATAAAAAATAACAAATGTTGGAGACAATGTGAACATAACTGAAACTTTTATACATTGTTAGTGAAAATGTAAATTAGTACAGCAATAACAGAAAACACTAGGGGAGTTCCTCAAAATCTAAAATTAGACCTACCAACTAATCCAGCAAACCCATTAATTGGTATATATTCAAAAGAGTTAAAATCAGTATGTTGAAGAGTATCTGCACTCCCATGTTTATTGTAACAGTATTCACATAGTCAAGAAATGAAACAATGTAAGTGTTCATCAATGGACAAATAAGAAAAATGTAGTTTTTATGTACAATGGAATGCTTGTCAGCCATGAAGAAAAGGATGAAATATCGTCATTTGTGTTAACATGGATAGGACCAGAGGATATTACGTGAAGTAAAATAGTCCAGGCAGAGAAAGGCATATATTATATGTCCTCTCTCATATGTACAAGATAAAAAAAAGTTGGTTTTATAGAAGTAGAGTGTAGAATAGGGGCCGGTGCTATGGCATAGCAGGTAAAGCTGCCACCTGTGATGGCAGCATCCCATATGGGCACCGGTTCAAGTCTTAGCTGCTCCACTTCCATCTACCCCTCTGCTATGGCCTGGGAAAGCAGTACAAGATGGCCCAAGTGCTTGGGCTCCTGCACCTGTGTGGGAGACCAGGAAGTGAAGAAGCTCCTGGCTCCTGGCTTTGGATTGGCCCAGCTCTGGCCATTGGGGTCATTTGGGGAGTAAACCAGCAGATGGAAGACCCTTCTCTCTCTGCCTCTGCCTCTCTGTAACCTGGCTTTCAAATAAATAAATAAATAAGTCTTTAAAAAATAATTAAAGAGAGTAGAATAGCCATCACTAAAAGCTTGAAAGGATAGAGAAAAGGAAACAGATGGAGATTGGATAATGGCTACCAAAATATAGTTCAACAGGAGGAAGAAGTTTTAGTGTTTTATTGCACAGACTATAAGCCACAAGAACTATAGGAGAGGAGTACAAAGGTCCCTGATATAAAGACATGATAAATGTTTGAAGTGATAGATATGTTAATTACCCTGATTTCAGCATTACACATGTATCCAATTATCACATTATACTTCAGAAATACTTATAATTCTTATGTGTCGATTAAAAAGTTAAATATAAAGGGATTATTTGAACACAAGTTCTGGAAGTACCCCAAGAGTTGATTAGACAACCAAGAAGACTACTGAGTGACTAACTTGTAACACATGCAACGCAGATATGCTGGACAAATAGATGATTCATAAGCCCAGGTGGGATTGAGCAGTTAGTTGGACATGAGATGTCATGATGACACTCAGAATGTTGCACAATTTTAAATTTATGAATTATTTATTTCTGGAGTTTTCCATTTAATATTCTTGGGCTGGGTGTGACGGTGTGACTGCATAACTGAAGTTGCAGAAGAAATTTGAGAGACTACTATAAAACAGATGATTACTAACCCCATTTTTTTTTTTTTTTTTTGACAGGCAGAGTGGACAGTAAGAGAGAGACAGAGAAAGGTCTTCCTTTACCGTGGGTTCACCCTCCAATGGCTGCTGCGGCCAGCTCACCGCACTGATCTGAAGCCTGGAGCCAGGTGACTCTCCTGGTCTCCTATGGGGGTGCAGGACCCAAGTTGGGCCACCCTCCACTGCACTCCCGGGCCATAGCAGAGAGCTGGACTGGAAGAGGGGCAACTGGGACAGAATCCGGCGCCCCGACCGGGACTAGAACCTGGTGTGCCGGCACCGCAGGTGGAGGATTAGCCTATTGAGCTGCGGCGCCAGCCAACTAACCCCATTATTACAAATGAAGAGTCTGAGACACAAAGCTTAAATAACATCCCTAAAATTACACAAGTGATTAGTGGCAAAATTTACTCATAGTGTGTAATCTGGTTCTAGTACATGTTTTTAATTCCTCTGAGCATTGACACTGATAATACACTAAATGATGTGCTTACATGCATCACAGATTACATAATATTCTTCTATTTATGAAGTATCTCTCCTGGCTCTCATAGTCCATACGTCTTGCTTTTTAACAGGAAACTAAAGTGGTGTACTTTATTATAAATAAAGTGGTGCAACAAGCACTTTCTTGTTGTGCACAAGGAATGAGGGAAACTATTGGGACGTACAGAATGTGGTCCTAGTCCTTATGTCATATCTTCTGAAAGATAAAATCTGAACAAAAGGATGCTTGACCCAGAGAGGCCACACAAAAGAGAACTGTATGAGTGCTATTACCATAAAGGGAAATCCTGTATAGTGGTGGTGGATTTTGGTGCTCACCATTCTTTCCCTTCCATTAATAACTGTATGCTCAACTTGTTTTGAAGCATCTAACATCCTGTTCCAACATGCATAGTCTTGTTTTGAGATAAAGGGGTAGCCAAGTGGCCTGAGTTACCAAACTCAGAGTCATTCTCCTGGGAGTTCAAATCTTAAAACAGAGTCAAACAAGGACAAAAAATAAAAACTCGGCATCAATGAAAACTGCATACTGATTTGGAGATGTCACTGACTCAATTCTGCTATCTGGATTTCCAGATCCTAGAACTAACCTGGGTTGTACCCCTCTCAGTCTTGCTCATCAAGTGTTACTTTGATTCTGTGTGAACTTCATTATCTCTCAATAAACTCATTTTGGGATTATACTGCCCAGTTTCTGTTGCTTGCAAGCTTATAACACTAGCTAGTACATCAAAATGACATATTCAATTATTCCATAGAGAACTATAATGTGAGGAAGTTAATACTGAACATACACCTCAAGTCACAAGTACAGTCTTCTGTTGGTCACAAAAGAGAATGATTAGAAAGGATTCAAACAGGGGCTGGCACTGTGGTGTAGTCGGCTAAGCCTCCGCCTGCAGCGTCGGTATCCCATATGGACATCGGTTTGTGTTCCTGCTTCTCCTCTTCCAATCCAGGTCTCTGCTTATGGCCTGGGAAAGCAGTGGAAGATGGTCCCAGTGCCTGGGCCCCTGAACCCACACGGGAGACCTGGAAGAATCTCCTGGCTCCTCCCTTCAGACAAGCCCAGCTTCAACCATTGTGACCATCTGGGGAGTGAACCAGCAGATGGAAAACCTTTCCCCCTGTCTCTTCCTCTGTTTGTCTGTAACTCTACCTTTCAAATAAATAAATAAAATCTTAAAAAGAAAAGGAAGGGTTCAAAGAAACTTGACAATGAATGACTACATGACCATTTAAAAAAAAAAAAAAGACAGTACATTGAAAATGTCTCCAAACCTCTGTACAAATTTCATTAATAGAAGTGAGCATTGGATCAAGAATCAGAAGACCTTATTGCTAGATTTAGCTCAAGATCATAAAGAAAGTGTGATGTGAGAGAAGTTACCTCTTGTCTCTGAGCATACTTCATATATGAAAAATGAAAGGAGGAAGTATCTTTAAAACTTTTGCTCATTGAATTTCTGAGATTTGAAATAGAGAAGATATGCTTTGGAAATACTGAAGAATTGGAGAGACATATTTTGAGACCTCTTTCTCCTGGAAACAAAGACATTTTTCTTGTAAAGATTGGTAATTGCAGATGAGTTCTGCCTAATGCCTTAAAGTAGCAATCTTACACTGAGCAAGTTACAGAGGATCCAGAACCCCTCTCATGCCTGGAATGATCTTACTATTTAAGAGGAAAGCATCAAAGGTCAGGATTCTGTCAGTTGACCAAAACTTAGTTATGAACCAACCCCAAAGAGGTCAGCAATAAATGTAATTTAATTCTTACCTAAGTTTTAGATCAGCTGAGACTTTCAAAGGAAATTTATGTTGAAGTAAAATTTCTCACAAAGCTTACTGGATTATTTTGTTGGCAACTGTTCAAGTTGTGTAGTTTCAGCTCTCAGATATATCACAAACTAGGAACAAACAAAAACGCATCTGTCACATAAAACAATTTGTGTTGTGAAATGTATTTATCTTTTCATCTTATTTCCTCACACTATACTTCTCTAACCTCCAAAATTCATCGAAATCTAAAAGTTTCCTAAAACTACTTTCCTACTTCTGCTTAGTCTCTTCTTTTGGAGCTTAATGACATTGTTTTCCACCCTGTGGTCAGAAGCCCTGGGCTGAGCAAAGGGGGTCAATGCATATAGTAAAAGGCTGAAATGTGAAAGGATCCTGATCAATTCTCTCCAGGGCTAAGTTAATTAGAAGGAGTGAAGGTACCAAAGTGATAGAAAAAGTATATTTCTTCGAAGTCTTATGAAAACATACACATATGCTTGTAAGAGATGAGAAATACTAAAGTACACATTCCTATATCAACATAGTATTTCTTTCAAAAATTTTGACTTTATCAGTTAATAATAAGGTGAAATGAAATAGATAAAAGCCAGAAGCACAACTTTGGGGCTTTATAATATCTCTTTGGCTTTGATACCGAATAAGGCACTGCTATAAGTTCTATTTAAATCACATATTTAATTCACACTGTTCATTAAAAGAGATGATTATTATTGCCATTTCCCCATAAGACAACTGCAGCTAAAGGTATAGAGTACTGTGCCCAAGGTCATACAGTCAGAGAGTGGCAGCGCTTGGAGTCTCTTCTAGGCCTCCTACTTAAGGTTCACTATTTTTAACTACTTTGCATATTAATAACTACAAGGTAAATCTTAAGGAAAAAGAAAATGGGTTGTGGTTTCTTGAAGGCACTGATATATTAACTGCATATAATACTGAAGAGGAAAAAAGTTTTTCCCTCTTTTAATTGGCAGTGCTAGAAATTTTTGTCTGAGACATCTGATGTCTTGTCATGAGCCACCAGCATGATTGTGCACTTGATTCAATAGTCTGGGTCTTCCTGGAGATATGCTTTAGTGGCATGGTGGGAGGTCATCATCCCTAATGTTGGTTTCTCATCATTTAGAAGCAAAATCTAGACTAGTGACCAAGGAAAATACCTCCTTGGACAGCACCCGCCTTTGGCTTTGATCATAAATTGCATCCATAAAAGGATTCATCTGTGCAGCTTCCTCGGGAGGGGTCACATATTTATCTCCAGAGAATTTGACACAAGCCATTTGTCAGCCATGGTCACACGTGCTTGCTATTACCAAGCTTTAGCCTTTTAGTCAAAGTAGTAATTCCTCGTTTTAAGAGTGCAACTGTGGGGTGCCAGGTGTTGATATTTTAGAAACAAACAGCAGTAGGGACAGCTGGGCTGGCAGATTTCAATGTTTCCCAGCCCAGTTGGTGGCAGTAGACCATGCCAGAGGAAATTAGAGTTTCAGATAGTAACTCTGCATCTCTACAGTAACGTGTGATTTGTGATGACTTCCTTGGAGGGCTCCTCCTGGCGTTTACCTTCGTTCGGAGGCAAAGAGTTTCAAAGCTGACTGTGCCGAGGAGGCACTTCATATCCAGATTGCTGTCAAAAGATCCTTCAGAATTTCCTGTGCTTTCCACACAAGCCTCTCAACCATTGCGTCTGTTCTCATCACTGTCATTCATCAGTACATCTAGCTTCCTGTCAAGTCAAATTCAACGTGTACTTACTTTCACTTTTCCTAGTGGGTCTGCATTTTTTCTAGCCTCACAAGCACTGGTTATGGCATACTTATTACTGCTTCGGGTAATCATCCTTTGTAGACTCTGATTTAATAAAGAGAGAAATAATTGAATGAGATTTCTAGGGAATCTGTTTCTCAGGTAAGAAGCAGGCTGTGCTAATGAAAATCAGTCATCCAGATTCTTTGAAAGGTAGTAACCCTCATATGAAGTACAATTCAGTTCAGTACAGGATTAGTGAGGAATTACTTTGATATTGGAATAACTCAGGGTAGTAGTTTTGGAAAATGCTGTGTCTACACTGGTATTTAACTTCTTTGAGACTCTCAAGAAGGCCTTGCACCTTTTCCCACAATAAAAGGGCAAATACACTCAAATTTTTAAATATATTTTCAGGTTTTCATGGACCCAGCAAAGGCTTTGCCACGTATGCTCTAGATCAGCACTAAGAGAACTTTCTATGATTAAGAGTTCATATCCGCAGTATCCAATGCGGTAGTCATTAGCTATGAAACATTTACAATATGGGAGGTGCAAATGAGGAACTGAATTTTAATTTAATTTAAATTTAAAGAGTCACATGTGGTTGAAACTCACTATATTCTCAAGCTAGCTTTGGATTAGGTGTTGACAGACATCAAATTATGATCTCATTTCACAAAGTTTCATTTTAAAGACACAACTTGAGATGTAATTCATATACTATACAACTTGCCCATTGAAAGTGTCTAATTTAATTGTATTAAGTACATTCCCAGTGTTAGGTCTCAGAAAATGATACCCAAAGACTGGTACATGGATACAATGAGAGGCCTTAGAAGCTGCCTCAGATCAAGGTCCCTCTGACCTTTCCTTGTTTCTCACTCCTGGGTCATGAGGCACTATCTGCAAAGTTCCCTTGTCTACCCAACCAGATCTGCCAAAAGAGGGACACAGACTTCTTACAAAACTCCATTAACTGGAGAAGATTAAACTTCTATCACAGGAAGGAAACAATACCAGGAGAGCAGAAAGGAACTTTGTCCCAAGGCACTGCCTATTATACTGGGCCTAGACATCTACCCAAAAAATATCTCCTGTCCCTCTGAAGCTACCTACATTCCCTCTTCTCCCTTATGAAGAGGCTACTTAAAATTCAATTGTCTTTCTCTTTGAGTTTCATACTTTGTGTATGGTTCCCGTGTTTCTGCATCTTAGTAAATCTCTGTGCTCATTTCCTGTTAGCCTGCACACTGTCAATGTTATCTTGTAGACGGAAATGACTGAAAGTTCAGAGGAAAAGTTTGAACTTCATTGTTAACAGTTACACAACCATCAACATAATCAATCTTACAACATTTTTATTTCCCAAAATGTAACAGTCATTCCTCATTTCCTCTCAGTATCCTGTAGCCCACAATAAAAACAAATCTGCTTTTGTTCTCTATGGATTTATCTACTTTGAACATTCAGTGTAAATGGAATCATGTGGTTCTTTGTGACTGGCTTCTTCACATCATCTTTGAAGTTTTAAAGGTTTATCTATGAGGTAATATCAATGATACTGATCATGATACAGCAGTACTTGAATCCTTCACATTATTGAATAGTTTTCCATTACAAGAATATACTAGTTTGTCCAGCTGATAGACACTGGAGTTTCTACCTTTTGGCTATAATTAATAATGATGCTTTGAATATTCATGGACAAATATTTGTATGGCTGTATGTTTCAAATTTTCCTTGACATATATCTAAGAATGGAATTGCTGGGTCATATGGTAACCTATCTGTAACATTTTGAGAAACAGCCAAATTGTTTTTCTAAATGGATACAGGATTTTATTTTCCTACCATTAAGGAATAGGGGTTCCAATTTCTCCACATCCTTACCAGTATTTTTATTATATATGTTTGTATTTTAAATGTCTTAGTGGAGGGTAAAGTGTTATCTTATGTGATTTGGGCATACATTTCCCTAATGGCTAATGTTGAGAATCTTTTCATGTGTTTATTGGCTATTTGTCTATCTTCCTTGGAAAACTGGCTGTTTAAATTCTTTGTTGGGGCTGGTTCTGTGGTGCACCAGGCAATGCGTTGTCTGCAGTGCCGGCATTCCATACGGGCGCTGGTTTGGGTCCTAGCTGCTCCACTTCCAATCCAACTCCCTGCTAATGCACCTGAGAAAGCAGTGGAAGATGGTCCAAGTGCTTAGGTCCCTGCACCTATGTAGGGGACCCAGAAGAGGCTCCTGGCTCCTAGCTTTGGATCATCTCAGCTCTAGCCATTGAGGCCATTTCGGGGAGTGAACGAGCAGATGGAAGACCTCTCTCTCTGCCTCAACCTTTTTGTAACTCTGCCTTTCAAATAGATAAATAGATAAATCTTTTAAAAATAAATCCTTTGTCAATTTTTATTGTGTTCTCTTTTGTAGCATTATAAGAGTTCTTTACTGTTTATTTATTTGAAAGGCAGAGAGACTGAGAGAGACCTTCTACACACTGGTTCACTCCCCAAATGATGGCAACAGCCAAGGCTAGACCAGGCAGAAGCCAGGAGACTGGAACTCAAACTAAATCTCTCATGTGAGTGGCAGGATCTCAAGTACTTTAACTGTCATTGCTGCTTCCCAGGGTGCACATTAAAAGTAAACTGGAATCATAAGTAGAGCAAGGACTCAAACCCAGGCACTCTGATATGGGATGTAGCATCTTAAGTGGTGTCTGTTAACTACTATGCCAAAGAGCTGCCCCTCTATATATTCTGGATTTTTTGTAAATCATTATCTGATCCAAGCCCATTAAGATTTACCTCTATGGTTTCTAACAGTTTTATAGATTTGCTTCTTACATTTTAGTCTACAATATATCTTGAGTTTTTTACATACGGTATGTAGAAGGAGCCCAGCTTCATTCTTTTGCATGTGGATATCCAATTGTGAAGCATTCTTCTTGGAAAGATTCTTTTTGCTGTTCAGTTGTCTTGGCACCTTTGTCAAAAATCAATTAACCATAAATGTGATGGTTTAGTTCTGGACTCTCAGTTCTACTTGACCATTTCATGTCTGTCCTTAACTAAGTAACAGACTGTCTTGATCACTGTTTTTGTAATTTAGAAATATGTCTATAGTTTTGTTCTTTTTCAGAATTATATTCTGGGTTCCTTTTCATTTCCATATGAATTTTCTGACGAGTACGTCAATTTCTTTTTTTTTTTTTTTCTGACAGGCAGAGTGGACAGTGAGAGAGACAGACAGAGAGAAAGGTCTTCCTTTGCTGTTGGTTCACCCTCCAATGGCCGCTGCGGCTGGCGCACTGCAGCCGGCACACCACGCTGATCCGATGGCAGGAGCCAGGTACTTATCCTGGTCTCCCATGGGGTGCAGGGCCCAGGCACTTGGGCCATCCTCCACTGCACTCCCTGGCCACAGCAGAGAGCTGGCCTGGAAGAGGGGCAACCGGGACAGAATCTGGCGCCCTGACTGGAACTAGAACCCGGTGTGCCGGCGCCGCAAGACAGAGAATTAGCCTAGTGAGCCGAGGCGCCGGCCTGAGTACGTCAATTTCTACTTAAAAAACCCAGCTGAGATTTTGATAAAGATTATGTTAGAAGATCAGTTCGGGATATACTGCGGCCAGCGCTGTGGTGTAGTGGGAAAAGCCACCACCTTTTCCAGTATGGGTGCTGGTTCGAGTCCCAGCTGCTCCACTTCCAATCCAGCTCTTTGCTATGGCCTGGGAAAGCAGTAGATGGCCCAAGTCCTTGGGGCCTTGCACCCGCATGGGAGACCCAGAAGAAGCTCCTGGCTCCTGGCTCCGGATCGGCACAGCTCCGGCCATTGCAGCCAACTGGAGAGTGAACCAGTAGATGGAGACTTCTCTCTCTCTCTCTCTCTCTCTCTCTCTCTGCCTCTCCTTCTCTCTGTGTAACTCTGACTTTCAAATAAATAAATTAATCTTTAAAAAAATTTGGGATATACTGTAGGGATTGGAGTCCATGGCTTGCTAAATGTTGGTTTCTCACTCTGGCTTGCTCGCTTGCCAGCCATAAGGCCATGACAGGCCTCATTCTGGACCAGGAAGGAGGCAGACGGGGTCCTTGAGAACAAAGAAAGTAAGCTCTCTTGGAATTTGTGACCTTCTTCCCCCACCAGCTCCCCTGGAATTTATGGCCCAATGCTTCCCGCCAGTGCCTCCCTGTGCCATTCCCTTTGTGTGGCCTTCCTGCCACATAACGTATATAGCCTATACGTTTAAATGAACCAATGAACATGTTAGGTCCCAATACCTTGCCATATAGAGAGTAAGAAGGTAACTTACGTAGGAGATGACCTGCACCCTTGCAAGTGTGAGGCTAGAAAAACATCTCTTATGCAAATGAAGGGGCCTTTTGCCTGTGCACTGCTAAAGGGTTGTGTGCAGGTAGGGGGTCCCAGCTGGCTGGTAACAAATAAACCTCTGCTTTTGCATTGAGACTGTGCCTTGTGCATTGATTGGGAAATTTGGACACAACAATACTACCATCTTTAAATTTTTAGAATTTACCTTATTTGAAAGAGACAGAGAGAGAGGGAGGGAGGAAGAGAGATAGAGACCAACCTCCCATTCAGTGGTTCATACCCAAACTGTCCATAATTGGCAGGACTGCGCCAGACTAAAGTGAGAAGCCAAGAACTCATCTGAGTTTCTCATGTGGTTGGTAGGTACCTACTACTGGAGCCATCACCTGCTGCCTCCCAGGGTGGGCACTGGCAGGAAGCTGGTATGGAGCAGGGAGTTGGGAGGAACCTAGGCACTCCAATATAGGATGTGGGTAGCCCAAGTGATTGTTTAACCACCCTTCATCTTAACAATAGTAAGTCTGCTGATCCATGTACTTGGGTCTGCACCCTTGAACATATTCATTTGAAATTCTTTTTCCAGCAATCCTGTTCTACAGCTTTATTCTTTCATTTACTTCACACTTTCCCACACCCATCTGCTACCACAGAATCATTTTCAAACTCTAGCATCATAACAACACCATATATAGCAAAATTATTTTTCATGACACCTCAATTTATTTTTAATTCTTTTACTTAAAATATTTTAATTGAATGACTGCTACATTCCCTGTTCTTTGTTGAACATTCCTGATTTTAGTTTCTCTGGATCTCTCTATCTTTTTTGCTTAGTCAGTCTAGTTAAAGGTTTGTCAATTTTATCAACCTTTTAAAAGCATCAGCTTTTAGTTTGGTATTCTTTCTCTATTCTCCCTTTCATTTATTTCTGCTCTAATGTTTATTATTTCCTTTCTTTTGCTTGCTCTAAGCTTTGTTGTTCTTTTTCCAGAGACTTAACATGGAAGATTGGCATTAGATCTTTTCTTTTCTTTTGATATAGGCTTTCAAGGCCATAATTTCTCCTCTAAGAACTGCTTTAGCTGCATTCCATCAGCCTGGTATGTTGTGTCTCATCTGGTATGTTCTGTTTCAATCATATGAAATTATTTTCTAATTTTGCATGCAATTTTTATTTATTATTAATATCACATATTTATTACATATTATATTATATGCATAATATATTTATATTATTTATATGTATATGGTTAAATAACCATATACATATATTCATATGTATATGAATATATAAATTCAAGAGTCATTTGATTCAACAATTTAATTATGGAAGGAAAAACTACCAACTTCTCGATTGCTGTGTGTGGTTTATTTATTTATTTATTTAAAAGTCAGAGTTACAGAGAGTGAGGGAGAGTCAGAGATCCTTCATCTGTTGGTTCATTCCCCAAATGGCCACAGTGGCTGAGATGGGGCCAGGTTGAAGCCAGGAGCTTCTTCCAGTCTCCCATGTACGTGCAGGGGCCCAGGCACTTCCGCTATCCTCCCCTGCTTTCCCAGGTGCATTAGCAGGGAGCTGGATCCTACATGTGGAGATTTAACCCTGTAGGCCACAATGCTGGCCCCTGATGCTTTGTTTTTTTAAAATCTGTCATTTGGAGCTAGCAAATAAACACACACTATGTTATTCATCACGTCAATTTTCAGTTCTACATTTTTGCTTTTGCTTCCCAAGCCTTAATATGCAAACAATTCACCTGGGGATTCTGCTGATGTGTGCTGGTGTGTGGTCTGGTGTGAGCCCTGAGATTGTGCATTTCATACAAATTATACATGGCTGACACTGCTGGTTCACTGAAGATACTTTGAGAGGGAAGTATACACAACTATTTGGAATGTTCTTCCCAACTCTTCTTTGATTAAACTCAAATGGTCCTTCCTCCAGTCTTTTTTCCCCTCTAGTTATGAAGTGACTATATCCTTTCCTTTTTTCCAATCCAGAATATTTATTTATAATAAACAGCAGCAGTAAGACATAAACTATGTAATTTATAGCTTACTTCAGGGAATATCAGAAAAAGTAACCTCAGTTTTATAAACCAACTATCAAGTGAGCCATTCAATATAAATATATATGATATATGATATATAATATATAATACATATTATATTTATATAATGTAAAATATATAATATAAATTGAATATAAATTGAATATAATCATAGACCAGTCATACCGAGATTCTATCATATATTCAATCCCCAGATTCCATGGTAGGTAATGCAATAATTTCTTATCAAATTATTCCTATTTTGCATATGAGAGCAGAAAACATGTATGTTTTCATGATTACTTAGATTTGTTGCTGGCTCCCTTAGAAAATTAACTCAGTCTAATTTACCTACACTAGCCAAATCTCTGGGGAACCTAACATATGCTTCCTTTTATTTGTGTACATTATGGCAACCAATTCAGAAAAAGAGAAACAACAGAACACCATTTCTTCCTGTGCCTAGATGGCAATGTAAAATGGGGCATTAAGACTCATGTTGCTACCCTTGTCCTGCCCTCACTTGTTTTGTGGTCATCCTGTTTGCCTCCATCTCAGTCTCCTTTCTCCAGGCCCTTCTCAGCAATATAGCCTCTAAAATGTGGGTTAGTAAGTGCAACTGCCTAAAATGATCCATGACTCACAGCTTCCCTGGAAGACAATGTTCAAACTCCCTAAGGCAGTTTATAATCTTCCTCCAGGCAGACTGGCAGGAATCTCATTCTTCCATCTTCTTTACACAACATTCCTTAGAATGTCTGCTCACTCCCCAAACAAGGCAAGATTTTACTTCTTTGTGTCTTTGCACATTGTCCTTGATGTCCTTCATTCTTTTACTGATCTCCCCTTTGACTTAGTCATCTTTCATGACCCAACTCCTACCAACTCTACTAAAAAAAGATCTTGGCTCTGCCTTGGCTCTAGGCTTCTTCCTAGAGTTATATACATACCTCTGAAATCAAAGTTGCCACATTTTATCACAGTAATATATGTATATGTTTTCATCACTTGTCTGTGGAATCCTAGGGCCAGAAATGTCTCATTATTTCCAGGATCAAGGACAAAACTTTGAACTCAATGGACATTGCTGGATAAACAAAGTTAGTCAAAATATAGGTGGGTTGGTCACTAAGACACTGGATTGACCTTATCTACAACCAGAGCTCTTTGGCATTCATTTCCAAAGCTCTCCATATGTCCAATTTCTACAGCAAATATCACATCTACTTTGAATTAATTATCTGTACATGGAATTGTGAGTTCAAGAGGGCTGCAGTTCTAGCACATTTATCTTTGACTCTCTCACTCACAAAGGATAGTGTCCTGCACATACAAACTATTTCATAAAGATGGTTTTAAGAACTGATACTACCTTAACTATATTCATGGGTCTTAGCCACATTATTCTACAGATCCCCATCACTCTGGGGAAACAATTATCTCCAACATAAAACTGAGGGATCTATCGTAATGTTGTTTGATGTTTCACGTTCTCACTTTCCAACAGCAAGGGATATCTTTGAAACAGATGGATGTACTGTCTATTTTGATTACATCAGTCAATACCTTACTCAAATAAGAATAATGCAGTGAATAAGAAAACAAAGGAGTAATTTTAGAATGCAGGAGTCAATTGAGGAAGTAGTAATGATTCATAGTGGGAAATACATTTTAATTTGAAACAGTGTTCACAGCCCCAATTCTTCTTTTGTTGTATCATAAATGAATTAATGGGTAAATATCAGAGGATGACTTTTTTTAGTGAGTTCTTCACTTGGCAGCTTCAAACTTACTCCTTCTAACTTGCTATTCTACAAGCTATTATTAAGCATCAGCTACATGGGAAAGACTGTGTGCTACTAAGGTGGCAAATTTGGCACAGCAAATTTAAGACAAAAACATTATTTGGTACTTTAAAAGAATAGTTCCAACTCAGCCAGCTCACCAATTCAACAAGAAGGAAATAATCCAACTTAAAAATGGACAAATGATCTATATAAATGTTTTATGAAAGAAGACATAACAAAGACCAACAGGAATATGGAAAAAGCTCAACATCAGCAATCCTCAGGGATATGCAAATCAAAACTACAATGAGATTATCATCTCACCCAGTTAGCAAAAAGACAAAGAATAACAAAAGCTGGTGAGGATGTAGAGAAATAAGAGCTTTGATACATTGTTGGTGGGACTGCAATTAGTACAGCAATTATAGAAAGCACTAGGGAGGGCCCTCAAATTCTAAAAATACAATTACCATAGTGTCCAGAAATCCCAATACTGGGTATTGAAACAAAGGAAATGAAATCAGTGTGTTGAAGAGAAATCTAAATTTCCATGTTTTTTATAGCAGTATTTACAATAGCCAAGAAACAGAACCAATCTAAATGCCCATCAGTGGATGAATATTAGGAAAATGTGGCACATTTATATATCCAAAAATGCATCCATAAAAAAATCAGATCCTGTCATTTCTAGTAACAAGCATTAGACTGGAAGACATGTTAAGTAAAATAAGCCAGGTACGTAAAGACAAGTATCACAAGTTCTCACTAATACACAAAACCTAAAAAGAGTTGATCTTACAAATGCCCTAGATAGCACTCTGGCCTTAGAATCAGCCCTTAAGGCATTTGAATCTGGCTAAAAAGCCCATGAGAGTATCTCAGGCACAAAAAGCCAAGACACTGTAGCAAAAAATGACCTAAATGAAAGATCTCTGTGAATGAGATCCCAGCAGAAAGAACGGGCCATCGAAGAAGGAGGTACCTTTCTCTGAAGGGAGGAGAGAACTTCTACTTTGATTATGGCCTTGTCTAAATAAGGTCAGTGTTTGTGAACTCAAGAGGCTTCCATAGCCCTGGCAGCTCATGACAAGAGTCTCAGGTGATTACTGACGTCATCAATAAGAGTGTCAACTGCTAAATCAACAACAGGAGTCACTGTGCACTTGCTCCCCATGTAGAACCTCTGTCCTTAATGTATTGTACTATGAGAATTGACGGTAAAACTAGTCTTCAAGCAGTACTTTATACTTTGTGTATCTGTGTGGGTGCAAACTGTTGAAATCTTTACTTAGTATAGAGTTGATCTTCTGTATATAAAAATAATTAAAGGGGCCTGTGCCATGGCTCACTTGGTTAATCCTCCACCTGCAGTGCTGGCATCCCATATGGGCGCCAGGTTCTAGTCCTGGTTGCTCCTCTTCCAGTCCAGCTCTCTGCAGTGGCCCGGGAGGGCAGTGGAGGATGGTCCAAGTGCTTGGGCCCCTGCACCCACATGGGAGACCAGGAAGAAGCACCTGGCTCCTGGCTTCGGATCGGCGCAGCGCTGGCCATAGCAGCCATTAGGGGGGTGAACCAACGGAAAGAAGACCTTTCTCTCTGTCTCTCTCTCTGTCTATAACTCTACCTGTCAAATAAAAAAAATAAAAATGAATCTTAATGAAGAATGGGATGGGAGAGGGAGTAGGCGATGGGATGGTTTGCGGGTGGGAGGGTGGTTATGGGGGAAGAACTGCTATAATCCAAAAGTTGTACTTTAAAAATTTATATTTATTGAATAAAAGTTTTCTATTAAAAAAAGTTGATCTTACAGAAGTAGAGAGTATAACAGTGCTTACCAGAGGTGGGGAATGATAGTGGGAAAGAAAGATAGAGACTACACAACTACAAAATTACAGTTAGAGAGGAAGATCACATTCTAGTGTTCTATAGCATGGTACAGTAACTATAGTAAAAATAATTTACTTGGAATTGGTACATTGGAAAGTACATTGGAAAATAGTTACAAGATTTTTAATGTTCTTAGCACAAATAAATAATATGATAAATATTTAAGGTGATATACTAATTACTCTGATTTCAACATTATACAATACAAACATGTAATGAAGCATCATACTGTAACCCCAAAATAGGTACATTATGTGAAAATTAAATAAAATGCACATAAAATAGTATTTTCCATATAAAATTCAAGAAAAATCACATACAAACAGCGAGCATAATCCCTGTAAATGCTTTACATCACATGCATTTTTTTAAAGATTTATTTATTTGAAAGGTGCCAGGGCTGGGCACTTCATCCATGTCTCCCATATGGATTGCAAGTACCCAACAT